AAACCCACCTACCTATTCCTGCTCCATTAAATCACTGAACTGCATCTTTTCCCATCCTGGGTACCAAATGGAGTGAGGTTAGAAAAGTCAGTATCAGCAAAGCACACAGCAGTACTTGTCTGGTATTGATGTTTCCCACTTGAACGCTCACAGAGGGGAATAACATAAGCCGCAAATATCTCCTAACAAGGTAGGAGATTTTCATTAATGGCTTTATTTTACTGTACCGAGAAAAGGGGTGGAGAATGTCTTTATATCGATAGAACCGTTTTCAACAACGACTTTGTCCTTTTAATCAATGCTCTTAGTCATTTTCTGAAACAATATCACTATTTATCTCTTGCTATCGTCCATCATTACTTTTATGCCCAACCGAACATTGTAAGATTTTCAGTGATGTAATCAAGGCAATTAACATGCTTCACAGACTGTTCAGAATGCTTGCTGTAAATCTTGCAGAGAAACTAACCACTTGCAACAGAAACTAACCAAATAAAGGGTAACCTAAGTACTGTGGTTGAAACAAAGGCAAAACGCGGAAATTATTACAATAATTCATTAGTGTAATGCATGAATGTTAGCAAAATGTTTCTCATTGGCGTACATTATGAGCTTGCATATTACAGTGTTAATGTGAATTATCTCTTAGGTAATATGTATAGATAATTGACAAGACACACATTGTAGCAGGTACTTTCACTAATCAAACTGTTACATTGTGAACCATATACCTTTAGATCAGTTTCTTCTCCTGACAAAAATTCCAATGTTTTCTTTATTTGGACTTCAATGTGGCAGACCTGCTGTACTAAATTGAACACAATCAATTTCATTTCTTCGTGGTACACAATCACAGTACGGCTGTATTGTTCTTTGGGGATCTGAACCAACATCCATTTCGAAAAGAGGAAGAAATTAAGTGCATGCACCAAAAATATCCTGGACTTTTTCCTCCGTGAGGGACAAAGTACCTACGGTGGGAACTTTGATTTGTGAAAAAAAAAGTGCTGGTGCATTTTAAAAATACCTAAAATAAAAATGGAAACCCATTGGAAACATATATCTATTAAAAAGCCATGTTAATATTTTGTGTTTAGCCATGAATTTAATTTAGAGTCTCAGCATTTTTCTTTTATTGGTAGCTCTTTTAAAGCTGATTTTTCTCAAAGAAATATTTCAACACTTATTTATCACTGGTTTTAGCTGGGGGCAAAGCAAGATGATTGAGCTAAATCATTAAACTAGAAAGATGTTGCCTAATGCATGAATCACCATAGAGACACACTAAGGTGAAGCCACATGGCTTAAAAGGGGGGAAAATATTTATCTTGGTGCAGAGAGAAAGGGGGAGACAGAGGGAGAGGGGGAGACAGAGAGAGAGAGAGAGAGAGAGAAGGGGGGGAGACCGAGAGAGAGAGAAAGAGAGAGAGGGGGGAGACCGAGAGAGAGAGAGAGTAGTCGCCACCTCTTTGGACAAATTTGATTTACATTGCTTCATAATATGTTCTTGTATTGCAGTTCAATGGAGGGTAGCAATATAGAACAGAATTTGCAACTGAAATTCTGAATAAATAAATCAATATATTGAAGTCTGGCCAACATGAGTAAAATAATTATACAAAATAGAATATAGTCATGTACATGTCAACACATGCTATGTGTTAGATAGCATAAGCCACAAATTCATGCTTTAAGGATGGATGCAAAGCAACACAAGAGAACAGAGCCTTTAGTAAAGGCAGTCAGCTACTTTACTAAATACAGTACACCAAGTATAGAAGATAAGAGAATGAGTAAATCTGGAACTGAAGGTAGAGTATATGATGATATTAGACCTTGTCATTTGCTCCTTAGTTCTCGCCTTTGGCAAAGTTTGAGCTTGTCTCTTTGTATCCTTCTTGAAAGAAATGAGTGCAAGCGATCCCAGGTGTTCTGCGCAGCTCAAAACTAATCATGTATAAGAATGCAAAGACAACAGTAAACATGAACACAATTTGGTGCAAAACAGGCCACAACCCAAATGCTATGGGCAGCCAAGTATGAATGTTGTTTTGCAGATACATTTGGGATTGAGCTAGTTTACGATGATGAATTTTGTTTCTCATGAAGGATTTCCAACGAGTGGCCAATTCAGAATGGTGAGATATATCTGACAGTTAGACAAAATCAGAACTTACTTTCCAAGGAAGCCCTTCAGAACAATTTGTGAAAGATTTGAACCCCAGGCTGCACAACACCTTCAAGGATTACTGCCAAATACAGATGCAGATGGAAGTGATTGGCTGGGTACTAACTTAAGCCCTAAGCCACTGTGCTCATCACAAATTTGATACCATTTGGAGAAATATTCCGTGTAAAATTCAATTCATGAAGTGAAAAAATGCAGAACGGATGAATAGTCTTGAGGAGAAGAATAACTAGGTCTTCTACAATCTTTGTGTTAACATGATCTTTAGCAGACAGAATACCCTTCAAGCATACAACCAAGCCAAGGTTTTGAGATAGGAAATATTTGAAACCAAATTCAACTCCAAAATAATAAAGCTTTAGAATGCAAGTCTACTTCAATGAACAGTGTGAGCATATGAACATCTCGTGATATTAAATGACCAGGTGAAGATTGTGCAAAGATTTATACGTGCAGTACGTGGGCCAATCAAAGAGATACTTCCCAATAAAAATGTGAAAGGCTCTTCAACTTTATGATCTAAGTGGAAGTTGATACTTGAGCAGTATCAAATATAAATAGAAATATATAAATATACCCCCAGCTTGGGTCCGTAACTCTGTCTGTCCAGCTCCTTGGGATGTACTCCTGACATGAAGGGTGCTTTACAAATGTAATTTTGTTGTTGTTGTTGTTGTTGAGCAGAAGAAGAAGAAGACTTCTATGTGCAACCAGCGACAATAATTTGGAAGAAGTTGAAAGTTTGAACATCCAGAGAAGAATCTGGAGCTGGAAAATCCAGTTAAGAAACTCCCTCTGAATTCAATCAGCTATGTATTAGTAGAGAAAGTCCTCGCTTCAGATATAAGGTTGTGGAGCTTGTTTTGTAAGGCTGGGTTTCACACTTGTTGCCCCTAGTACGATGTTTGACCACTCTGGCATCTTCTATTGAAGATTCTTATACCACAGCAAAAGAAGATTGCTGACCCTTGATTTACCTGTCGATAGGGCCTATGACCATCTAGGCAACCCTATACATATATACATACAATCACAAAGACTTACTATGGGTGTAGCCAATAAACGGTTAGGATCACAAGGGTGAAGGCAAAAAGAGGACATATACAGATATAGGGATATATTGGTGTGCGACTTCAAAATAGGGAATTGAAATTCAGATGCAAATCTCTGCCTCACACACACAATGAGATATGAAAGACACAACTTGTTGAAGAGTGTGCAGATAAACGATCAAAAGATGAATTCTGATGTCTGGCATAGCAGTCTGGTCCTCTGATGTATACATTAAATGATTTGACATTCTTCAGCCTACCTGGATACTTAGATTGCTACAGATAAATGAATTCAGACACATTTAGTTGATAGCAATGTATATATGCCATTCGGTCAGAAAGTTGCAGGTTTAAGCCCCGCAATAGGATTTGAGCTGATAATCTATTCTAGGCTGTCACTTCAGTGCCAATCTTCAGAAGAGCCTTTCATCATTCATGCTTCATTTTCATGGTAAGGCTGCTGACCACAGAAGGAGAGAAAATAACTGAAAGGAGACTTTCACTCTCAATAACAAAAAAAAGAGAAGAAGCCTTTTTGGATCACAAACAGGATATTTCTATTCCCTGTTGAGGTGGGCACGAAACAAAGAGAAACGAAAACTCTACACAAGACCAATTATTAAAGAAAAGGTTATATCCAAATTCTAATGAAAAAATTGTTTTACAATAAATATATCAAATGTTTGCTACTGCTGACTGTGAGATGGCTACAGCTGGCAAACAATAAGCTTACCGAGTTGTAAACCCTGTCTTTTGGGTGTGTGGCGGTTTCCATGTGCCAGTGACGGAGAGAATTAAAAATATTCATGGTATTGTTTTCAATTAGAAAAAGCAGCCAGGCTTGATGGTTATTTCATACAGCAATGGTCATGGCAATATGATGCGAAAATTGAGCCATTCAACACCAAAAGCACAGTTTCAATCAAGTAAATGGTTTACCCTAAAGATATAGAGAGTTACCTGAGAGATGATCTGTTAATACCATTCTCAGAATTTGGTGGAGCTTTCAATTCAGTGCTCACTCAAAAATGGTTGCTCGAACATTTGAGGTGGGGAGATGCATTGACATGGGAAGCATAAATCAAGGTTCCCACTCTTAATCACCACTGCTTAAGGATAATTAATCAATTCCAGCAGTATAAAATGGAGCATTAGAGATAGACAACAAGCTTGAGCAATAACACAGAGAATTCTCATCCGCTTTGCAAAACCTAAGCAGTATCTCTGTATAATAAATGACAATTTCAACGTGAGTACACTGATGTCACAGAGACTTCTAAATTAGCAACTTATTAGCTGGATATTCAATAACCCAGGGTAGTAATGTAGTACTGGTATCATATGACTATTAAGACCTTATTTAATAAAAACCAATATGCTGTAAATTGAAGTAAGCCTTATATAGTGCGCACAGTGCTACGCATTGATTTAAAGTGACTTCATCCTGATGAGGGGACTGAAGCTAATAGCAGACAATTTAGAGCAAACTAAGTTACTGCACTTCAGCTGTAAGTACAACTGAAGTATAAATGACTATTTTTATTAGATTTTGTTGTTTAGGTCTGTGGAGTTGAGTATTTATCTGATTAATTACAAGAACCAAAGGCTCATTTATGTTGGTAATTCATTCTAAATAGAGGTTTGCATTTTAATCAAAAGGACTTTTGAACAATACATTGTCTGACATTTATTTCGTACCATATTTAAGACATCCGTGTCTGCATTGTGCAACTGAATTATTATTGATTTAATTTACTTGCCATCAACACAAGACGGTTTGGCTCTGGTTGTCCCGGCTACTTTCCCTGGCAGACAGGAACACTTTACAGTCTGTGATCGTTCCTCAATTCGATTCTTGTTACAGCATCTGTGTGCTGCTATTACTTCACATGTACCTCCATCTGCGGGGGAAAAAGAGAGAAATTACATTGTCTGTCGATCAATACTAAAAATAAAAAAAATTTCTTCCTGTAAAGCAGAAATCAAAGTGTTATTTAACCTAGATTCGAGTGCAATAAAATAAAATACAAAACAAGGGTGATGTTTTTGGAATCCATCAAATCGAGACTTAATTACATTTATTTAGTATATTTGCTAATTCTGCCGTCGATTGACAATAGTTTCAGATTGAGGACTGAGATTTGTTCAAAACCTGATGCAACAAATGGGGAAAGGAATAGTATTACTAAAGAATTTACAGGGACTATGTTGTGCATAAATTCCTGTCTTTGAGTAACATTGAACTCAAGTTATATTTCCAGAGCACTTTTTCATTCTATACAAGCAGATTTTGGTTGTTAAGGTGGACAGGTTTGCATAGAAAGTTTATTTAATTTCACAGTGAAGGCATATCCCTCTGCCTGTTCCACAATAAACTATGATCTTCACCATCATGCCAAGTGCTGAGGTTGAACATAAGGAAATATTCTCTGACTTACTGTCTAAGATACAATTTGTTAACTGATTGTTGGGCAACTGCAACCTTAATCTCCAACCTGTGTGTACTTCTGACATGCAGTTTTGGTTTAACCAAATTTATGGTTTAATCTTCATTTCATTCCAAAGTGTACTTAATACTGAATTCTCTACCCAATCCAAAACAGTATCGGTTTACCTGATGTTCTTTTAGAACATGAAGGGGAGAATGGTTGTGGGTTTCATGCATTAGCAGTGCTGAGAATTCAGATATTGCACTGAAGTTTGCACAGTGAGATTACAGGCAAACATTCTTAAGTTATTTCTCAATGCTCTATCCGTTAACTCTTTTGTGAAGTACATTTGGCCTTCGTTATAAATATATTTAGGAATTTAAGGGAGATTCTAAGCGATTCTAAGCTGTGCTCAATTGGCTGCTGTGTTTTGTCCACAAAATATACAGCCAATTCACTTTGCAATGTATTCAGTGAAGTGCTTTGAGACATCTCGCATAATTGATGAGGCATTATATCAAATGCAAGGATTATTATTATATAAACCTTCAGGATTCTTGAACTAATAAAGATAATATTGCTGAAATTACATATTTAAAAATATATATTTTTTGGCAACACAACATTACTTCATGACTGAAGTACTGCATAAAAAACCTTCAGCGAGCTTAAGGCACGAAAGTAATTTTTTCCCCATGCTTTTTGCTGGATTGATTTCTGTGGCACTTCAGCAGGGTGTACCCACATATCGGCTCTATGGCAACAGAATTTACAGCTGACTTTAACAAGATTTTGATGCACTAAATCAATGAATTCAATATTGACATAATTTCTGCCAGTAGCTCAACACTGTGGGTAACTGCCTGATAGACTGTGGTTAATGCAACAAACCAATGCTTGCAATAAAAGTAGCATTTCACATTAGTGAATAGTCAAGCTGTTTATTTTTCTGGTAGTAACGGTGCTTTTTAAAATATTTGTAGCGTGGAAATATTTTCAAAGCCATCGGAAGTTTATTTTTCTTAATGTTTTAGTTTATTGGCTTTGCCATCTCCAGGTAAGAAACAGGAGTGACAAGTGTTTTTGTCCTCTAGACTATCAATAGAAATAGCTAAAGAGAATAGGTAAAGTTCTGCTTGGAAGAGTGAAAGGTTCAGGCAATCTGACTCAGTTTGGTCTGTCAAATGTACAGTCAAGTTCAATTTAAACGTCTCTTTCTCAAATCTCCAGAAAACAGATTTTGCAAAGGTCACAGTCGGCACTTTATGGATCTAATCATCCACATGAAAACTATATTTTTCTTTTCAAATGTTGTGTCAGGCATGTTGGACCTCTTTTTTTAAAGAGCCCAAAAAAATCTTTCCACTGGAAAAGGGGTACTTTATGAATCGTTGTGCTACTTTCAAAGATAACAGTTCACTATTTGCATAGCTCCACAGCACCAAGTCTAGAAAATTTTGAAACAGTTTTTCTTGTTATTAACAATACTTAGACATTTGATCCTATTAGAAGTCTCTACTTAATTTTGCTAGGACCATAGCTGACATTCAGTTCCTATATATGCCGATTTCCTAGTGAATAATTGCAATGTGCAAAAGAAACAGATTGTTTGCAAGCTTCTTGCTGCTTGTTCAGCTAGGACCATGCAACCTGTTTTGGGTTTTGGTTTGCAGGGTTAACAGGGGCCGAGTGGAAAGAATCCCTGCCCCTCGTGACCAGTCTGCCCTCCAAGACCTGTCAATGAGTCAGGCTGACTGGTCTGTCACCAGCAGTTCCATGGATTTGAAACAAATCCACATAAAACTGGAAATGTGAAACGTTGGGCAAGTTTCCTTACTCCACACACCTCTGTTTACCTAGCAGTAAATAGCAACCCAGTTGTTAGTCGATTGGCGAATCGCTTTTCCGGGGGTAATAATTCCTTCAAAAAATAATAATAATAATAATTTGATCACTCAATCCATGAATCTTCGTGGGAAACTGCTGTGCACAATTTGCTGCCACGTTTTGCCCACAAAATATACAGTCAATACTTCACAGTATGTTCTGTGAAGTGCTTTAAGGCCTCTCGAAGATGTAATAAGGCGCTATATCAAATGCAAGGATTATCATTATTATTGTAATCCAAGCGAGAACATTCATCTACCAATAAAACATTCTTCCTGGAAGAACACATGGCGACATGAAGCAATGCCCACAAATATACAGTCAATTCACTTTACAGCATACACTGTGAAGCGCTTTGAGACGTCTAGAAGATGTGAAAAGCGCTATATCAAAATGCAAGGATTATTATTACTATGCCACAGAAGCTCCCTTGATCGGTTAAACCACTGCCACAAACGGAGAAAGAAGATTTATAAGCAATCTTGCAAATGATAGGAAACAAGAAGAGCACACCAAGCATTTATTTGCAATAGATTGAGAAACAGGGTGGAAAATTAGGAATGATTCATTGGTTAAGATTTGCATTTAAAAATTAGGAACTGAAAATCTCTATCCCAAAGGGCACATCATCAACATTGCTGTTCTTAGTGGCAGGAGAAATTTCTTGCCCTGGATTTTAAAATTAATCACATTTTATACCTTTTTTTTCCCCTGTAGCAACTAAATGCAAAATGACTTGCAGAGTGATACAGAGCGGAGAGCAGGATTTATATTTCCCACTCACAACAGCTCTAACCTGGAGCTGGAGTGAGTTCTGTCTATGCAGAGAACTCTGGTGTCAGTATACTGGTGTCAGTATTATTTTAATCTTATTAAAGAGATGATTGCATGACCTGCTCTTTAATAAGATGACTACTGCCAAATCAAGCTTAACACTGATACAGCATATTAGAAGTAAAATTAGGAGGTGCATTCAATAATAATCAGTGTTAGGATAGAACTTGCCAAGGAACAAGTTGAAAGAGGCTGAGAGTGTTGATTGAGTTAGTTGATTGACTTATCGTTCACAATGTCCAAACAATGGGAGGAAGCAGTCATCAAAACACTAGTTTTCTGGGCTACATTACTAAAATCAGTTGAGGTCAAATTCTCAGAGGTCATGCGGAAGATGTGCAGTGCTCTGTTCAGTCCTTAATAATGATAATAATCCTTGCATTTGATATAGTGCCTTGCCAAGTCTTCGAGATGCCTCAAAGCGCTTCACAGAATATACTGTAAAGTGAATTGACTATATTTTGTGGGCGAAACACGACAGCCAATTGGGCACAGCAGTGTCACACGAGCAGTCGTGGATTGAGTTATCAATTTATTATTATTTTTTAATTGGTCTACTGGAATACGTATCTGGATTACTGCCTAAAATTCTGGTTACAAGAAAGACATCAATCCATGTTCAGTTGAAAATTACTGTAATACGTGACTGATATTCACACAGCACACCGAACAAGTGCAGAGTAAAAATGATTATAATATGCGGGTTTGTGTAACGCTTATGTTCTTTGATCATCATTTTCAGGTCAGTTGAAATATTGAATTTGGAAACACTGCTAATTTTTGAATTTCAAAAGGTATGCATTAAGATCACTTGGCTAATTCCTGAATAAAGGTATTTTGTGGTACAATAGAGACCTCTTATCTGAATCCCTCAATATTAAAATTGTATAGCTTGCCTCTATTGCGGGATACGGTTAATGGAAAAAGGATCAAGTACATATTTTTGATGATAAAAAAAGGGACACATTTAAGAATGAAAGTAGAAAGGTGTAATTAATTCTTCGCTTTTTCAATACTAAGCCGAATCCCATGGACATTGAGGAGTTTAACAATAGAAGCTGCTGAAAGAAAATTTCACGTAAGCCTGATACTGCTTTAGGCAATTCTTGTGGAAGAGATCAATTAGAAATAGCAAGTTGCACAGATCATTACTGAATGTGTAAACATTATAACTCAATGTTTTATACAGCTGATTAAACCTGCATAGGAGTACACCAGAATAAGACATTAGCCCTATCAACTTCTAATAAACTCTGTACAACCAGCTCATTCCATCTTTTAAGGAGGTTAACCATTCAGAAGGTTAGAATGATGAAACCTTTCCCTGTCTTTGAAAGGTAATCAACCAAGTATTTGGGATATTGGTCTAGCAGCATACCTTATCATACACAGGCTTGACTGGTTGCACTCCACAATGTTAACATAGCACAGGCCAGGGACCACACTTGGTGTGTTGCTTGTCTATTTGGCTCTGTCAATAAAGTACAATGCATTCACTCTTTACGCCAATATCAGAAGTTACTTGATTCTATCTCCAAACGTTTCAGAATATATAAATGTGTGAGGATGTTGCAGTAAATTCCATGTTGATGTGACTATTTGGATCTAAAATAACTGTGATATGTTACAGGGCTACTTCGAGCTTTTTTGCTAGTAATCTTGCTTCATATTGTTATTTTTATTTTGCTTATACTGGTGCCACAACTGCTGAAAAGGTCTATTATGAGTCCTATAGGTCAGTGGTTAGAGCA